ATTCAGTAGAAGCTAAATTATGATCTTTTTCTGGGCTGTTGATATATGACTGTCTCTCTTTGTTGACACCGGAGTGCAGCAGCATTTGCATCCCCGAGTCAGTCCTGCTGTCACAAGGCAAACATCAAGACTGTGATGTACTGTGTTGTTAAGCTGTGAATAGGAGGTCAGGAATATTAAATACAATTTTAAAAGCTTTATCCTATTTATCCGAAAGGTAGAGTTAGGGAGAGAGAAAAAGGGAGGAGAGATACATAGGGAGGTCTCCTACCTGCTAGTTCACTCTCAATGAATGCAATGGTCAGGGCTGGGCAGGGCCAAGGCCAGGAGCCAGGAGTTTTACCTGGATCTTGCAAAAGTACCTGAGCCATCTTCCAGTGCTTTCTCAGGTGCATTGGCAGGGAGTTGGATCACAAGTGGAGCAGCCAGGATTTCATCCAGCACTCACATAAGATGCCGGCATTGCAGGCAACTCTGCTATGCCACACATGGATTTTTCACAAATATCACAAAATACATATTCAACTTAGGATGGGATGATCCCTCACCAAACTTGACGAATATGTGCATTTGCCAATCACAAGCCCACAAACATGCAGCCCTCCTGCTAAAAATACCTTACTCTTAAAATTCAGCAACCTAAGCTACCTATTTCTTATTTTCTTTGTTATGTTCAATGTTTGTACAGAAATTTCATGCCTGTTAGCCAGGATGGTTTTGTTCCAACTTTAGAAAATGAAATTTTTTTTCCCCCTTAAACGTTCTGTTGTTTCACAAATCCTGAGAAAAATGGGCTTCTTTTCAAATACATAATGAGACAAGTGTGAAAACACTCAGAATAGTCTCTGGTCCAAAAGAGATGAGCCACTGCATAGCTCCAAATAAAGGTGTAATCTCTCAACAGTGACATGGCAGTAAAGAAAGTCTTCATGATTTAGCTACTGGGTAACGATTGGACTTCCAAGCCAAGATCTGGAGAGAAATGGGAGCTACGGCGGATGGTGAACCCGTCCCTCTTGCCCCTGACTGCTGATTTTGGCAAAGGCCACAGTAACTCACCAACCACGGGGCTGACAGCCTCTCAGGCCCACATGTTGATCTATTTTAAGCTTCCTGGTTGGCGCTGCTGTGGTTGCTGGACTCTCTCCATGCTGTGAAAGCTTAACCCCAACAGCCGCAGGGGTCTTTACACCTGCCCACAAGGACACTAGACCAATTTGGTCAAGCATTTGCTCACATCCAGGTTTATCCTAGGATAGGAGAACAACCAAATGTTAAGAGTCCATTTCAGGAACTGTGTTTCACAAAGAGCATTTATATAAGCAAACTTTTTAAATATATAATACTGTGTGTGTACCACACTTATTCTGAAGTACTTCCCTCTTTTCTTATCTGTCTTTCTCTACAACAATCCTGCACTGTTTCAGCATTACTTTTCAGCACTTTCAACGTCAAATTTCAACAGGTATTATGACAGTCAAAACAGTTCAGTGCGGTCATAGGAGCAAACCCAAGAACCTGCACTAGCCACAACCAGCTGGCCCCATGATGACAAACAGCACTTTGGAAGCAAGCATGTGGGTTGGCTGAGTAGGGCTCCATCTAGAAATACAATCAACAGGTCACAGGGACATCAAGTCCAGCACCAAAAAAATCCTCCGTGGTGCTAGGACAGTTGGTATCTCTTGGAGGACTATTTGTACCACAGGCATGACTGCACTGTACATCTTTCCAACTAGAGAGCAGAACTTAAACCTATAATGAGATTATTCAAGCCCACCTCTTTGAGGCGGCTTTCTCCTGATTCCAGAAACACACTGGCATCCAGTTCTCATGAGAACACTTTTGATTATACCTAGTGACGACAAATGATCAGCTTTTTGAGAGGTGTTAATTTTCAGAAACAGCTTCTTCAGAACGAAGAAGATGGGAACATTAATGCTATCCTGGTATAAAAACCCAAATGTTGCTTCCTGACCAGATCTGAGATCCATTTGAAAAAGCTGTAACAGCATATCATACTGGAGTGCTTGGTGCAAGTCGCAGCTGCCTGGCTCCCCATCCAGCTTCTTGCTGACGTACCATGGAAAGGAACAGATGACAGCCCAAGCATTTGGCCTTGATTCCCACAGGGGAGACCTGGATGGAGATCCTGGCTCGCGGTTTCAGCCTGGCCCAGCTTCAGCAGCCACTGGGAGAGTGAACCAGCATATGGAGCATCTCTCTCTCTCTCTCTCTCTCTGTTACTCTACCTCTCAAATAATAAATCAGTGCAAGCATGGAATAAACGTGTATGTTTCCAGGGTTAACATTCTGATAGAAATGCATAATCTCCTCAGTCTCATCATTCTATTTCACAAGCATTCTGCAAAGGTTCTTAGACACGTCTACTCAAACCTGTCTGGATCTTCAGGCAGAAACTCATAAAAATCTGCTCTCAGCTTCTGTTACTTGGTCTGAACTCTTGTAAAGTAGGAGTTATGAGGTAGGGACACTCCCCCCTGTAAATGACTTTGAACTCATTTCCTATTGTGCAAAGATTTTCCATTCCATTAATGACATTTGTGGCTAACAATGTGGCATAGATTATATTGGGGCCCTGTGTTTGTTCTCCCATTCTTACTCTAAAACACTGTCCATGCATGTCTAACAACAGCTCTTACATACAATTTACTATGTGCATTGTACTTATTTAGAAAATTATCAACCCAAAATAGTCCTGTGAGTTATTGCTTTATTCTCATTTTATCTATGAGACAACTGAGCCATGGCAAGGTACCAAAGACCACAAAATCAGCTCTCACTGTTCCAACCATTCTACTGTATTTCTTTGAGACAAGAGAAAAGCAGCTATTCAATAGGAAACAAAACAAAACAAGGATCTATGAGCTCATTTGAGAAGCAAAAATGAGTGAAGTCAAGCAGATGGATCCATGTTAACTAGGATGAAGGTTAGACAGATCAGCCACAAACAATTCTCTGGTTAGAGAACAAATAAGGCAGCCTTAGAGACCAAGGAGTTGGAGGAGCCAGTTTGAATATTTTACATTTTCCCTTTGTTATAAAAATCAGATAATGCAAAACTAATACAAGCAAACTCTAGGGCTGGGCGTTTTAGCACAGCAAGTTAAGCCTCCAGTGGGTTACCCAGATCCTGTATTGGGAGTGCTGGCTTCAGTCCCTACTCCTCTGCCACTCTTCCAGCTTCCTGCTAACAGTCTGGAAGGCATGAGAGCATGGCTTAAGTGCAGGGGCCCTTGCTACCCAAGTGGGAGGCCCAGGTGGAGGTCTGGGCTCCCAAGTTCCCTGGCCTGGCCCACCCCAGGCTGTTGTGGACATTTAAGGAGCGAATCAGTAGATGGAAGATCTCTCTCATTCTACCCGTTTGTCTGTCTTCCAAATACTTAAATATTAATAAAGAAAGAAACAGTGCATGCTTGTGCCCACTCCTTGTCACTTTGTGAAACTCAGTGGCCAGGTACTGAATTAAATCCACCTCACTGGTTAACATCAGGTAGGGTAAGAGTAATGACCTCCTTGATAGCACCCGCAAGCCTGTGGAATAACAAGGTGATGCAGATGCAAGTGAGCATTGAGCTTTCAGATGTCCCGCACTTCATCCCTGCCAATGCCAAGGCTACCCGCAAAGACCCACCTCCTTCTAAGAACTCAGAAACGGGGTCTTCCTCCTCCAGGCCCCGTCATCTTCCCACTTTCACGGGCTGTGTTCTGCCCCTTCCTGTGAACGACAGTGGCTTCGGAGCCAACCATCCCTTTGGATAACATGACACGCCCGTCGACAGGGGACAGCGCGACCTCACCCTGCCTTACTTCCTCTTGGCAGCTATTTTGGATAGGATTTTTCCCCCACGTGGAAGCCAGCGGTGTACAGCAATGTTTTTATAAAGCCCTAAGCGGTGGCCGTGAATGAGTCAGGGTGCCCGAGAGCTACTCGGCGAGGCGGGAGCGAACGGGGTCCCCGTCCCTCGCCCGGCGAATCTTCCCGGGGAAGCCTGCACTCCACCGGCGCGGGGCACGCGCGGCCGGGCGCACGGCTGGTCTCCCGCCGAGGTGCCAGGGATTCGCGGAAGCCCGCCCGGCGGGGGAGCAGTCCTTCCGTGCAGCCCCACGCGTGCCGAGACGCCGGCAGCAGCCCGGGAAGCTTCCTCCCGGCCCGGCACGCCGCCAACGGCAGGCCCGGCAGCTCCAAGGACCGCAGGCCACACGCCCTGCCCCGCCCCCGCCTTCCTCCCGCTCCGGGACGCGGTCACGTGAGGCGGACCCAGCGAGCCAATGGGGATGCCGGCGAATGGAAGGGATTGTCTGACCCCGTGACGTCACCGAGCTGGAGGGGCGCGCGCGGCTCTTCCGCCCCCACCCGAGCCCCGCCCACCGGCCAGCGCACGGCCAATCAGGATGCCGGGAGCGCTCCGGCCCGCACGTAGGGGCGGGGCAGGGTGGCGGCCTTGGCGGGGCAGGGCCGCCGAGCGGGCGGGCTGGGGGTGAAGTGGAAGGAACGCCGAGGGGCGCCGCCACCGTGTGCTCGTGCCGACGCCGCGGCCCGTGTCCTGTCGCGTCCGGTTCGTATCCCCTGCTCCCGGCTCGTCGCCGCCCCGCGCGGAAGCCTTCTCCACTTGGTCCAGAGTTATCCGGGGTGGGGTGCCGGCGCGCCTGAGGAGCGGCGGCCGCGGGGCGAGCGTGTGCTGCGCGCGGCGAGGGGGCGGGTCGGGGCCGCGGGAGCTCGGGGCCCGCGTCTGCCGCGCCGCGCGGGATGCTGCGCGCCCGGGGCTGGAGCGAGGGGCGGCTCCCGGCTCCTGCGGGTGGGTTTGTTTGCTTTCCTGCTTCTCCACCCCTTTCGCTCCCTGCTCCATCCTCTTCCCCCCCCTCCCAGCCCACTCGCCGGGCTGGAGCGCAGCCTCGCCCCTCCTCCGCGCCCGCCTCCTCCTCCTCCTGCGTCTCCTCCTCTAATGAGCATCTCTGCCTTGCTTTCAATGGGCCGGTGCTGCTGTCGCTGCTGCTCTCCGCGCGGGTTGTGGATGTTGTCGGCTCCGTGTTGTGATGACAGGAGAATGTGTGTGTGTCCAGGGCCCAGACGAATTGGTAGGTATTCGTCCGACTACCTGCGTTGGGTACCCGGGTGCCTGGTGTTGGTGTGTGGTTCGTTTTTAGGTGGGTCGGCGAGGAGTGAAGACGGGAGATGGATCGGGAAGGAGGACGGAGGCGTCCTGGACCCGTAGATAGCTTTGGATGCCTTCGTGCAATCTTGAGGAAGGAACAAAGGGAACTGATCAAACAAGTGCGAGTCTGATGCTTTGTGTCTTCTGAGGCAACCGATTGCTTCATCGGTTCAAAGATCGCAGTTGCTGCGGGATGGCCGGGCATTTGCAGAAAATGCTTGAAGAATCGTATGGAGTCTTCATGCGGGGTATTTAATGCAATCAGATTACATAAACTGGGATTCTGACACGTGTCGAGACTAAATGTTTCTTTTCCATTTACGTTAGCGGCTTTGCACAGCTGAGGAACTCGCGGAGTGGATGCAGTGGTCGCATTTTCTAATGAATTTGGTCCCTGGGTTTCTTGATGAGGTGGAATGGTTTTTTTTTTTTTTTTTTGGCGTGGGTTCTGCCAAAGAGCACATCGGAGAGAATGGATATGTCTCTCGTTACAGCGCATCTTGCTTGCTGCTCATCAGCGAAATCAGCCAAATCTTTCTGGGAGTAAGAGGCTGCAAATAATGTGGTTGCATTAGGCATCTTAGGATAGGGACTGTAACGTGAGGCTAGTCAGAAATGACTAGGAAATGAGACACTGCTCCACCTTAGCTCCGGCTTTGCCTTGTTGCTGTTCTTGTTGCCTAATCAAGAGCTTTCGACTTGATTTAGCAAGTTTTGAGCTCATGATTTCTGTTTGTTTTCCGGGGTGAATTATAATATTCAGAAAGATTTTTGAGTTGTTCAGATGCTCGTTGTTCAGCCAAAGCTTTTGAAAGTCCCTTGACTTCAGAGGGAATCTAGTTTGATGGAGAGAATGCTATCAGTGGCACGGATGTGGATAGAACATTCCTTAATCAGAGAGAAGGGTTTTTAGGAGTCTGACTCCCCTCAGAGCTTGTCATGTGAAGGCAAGTCGGGGGATTGGGGTTCAGTCTCTGTCCATGTGCCTAGCTGCTGACAACAATGATAAAATTCAGTATCTTTTTTTGTTGTTTAATCCTGAGATCTTTTTACATTGAAGGAAAACATAATTGGGTATTTACATTTGGATTTAAGTAGTATTCAAAGCACCTGCTGTGTAAATCATTAGCTCTTTTACCGCAAGATGTCATTCATGTTGCAGTAAACTCCAAAAGCGGAAAGATTGTCAGTACAAAGGAATTTAAGAAAAGTGCAGATTTTTACGACTTGCTGTTTCCTTGATTAGATGTAAAATCAATTGCTGTTAGGCGCTTATAACTCTTCCATCTTAAGTTTTAAAGTAGGAACAAATTCAGCCTTGTAAAATGATGAAGAAAATGTCAAAGATTGCATATGTTTACATCCTGACAATAGAGATTTTTTAATGAGCTGGTATGTTTCTTACATGCAAACCTGAAAAGAGATGTGTTTTGTTTCTGGAAGCCAGTGTTATGTGACCCAAGATTGAGTACATCTTCTGGCTCAGTCCTGAACACTTAACCTTTGGATGACTTTCAGATGTCCAGTTGGAAGTGCTGTTACTTACAATTAGTTTTTCTGGAATTTCTGATTGTGTTACTGTGGTTATTTAGATATGGATTTGGCCTTTGAAAATTCTGTCCATTATTGTGTATTGCCTGATCTTCATTTTTAATAAACAGATCCTGTCTGATGATTTAAATAAATTGTGCGCTTTCTCTCAGTTGCACAAGAGGTTCAGAACGGCTGGTTTATGCAGTATTTATTACAAAGGTGAATAACCAATGATTATTTGGTGTTCCTTTTATTTTTTTTTCTTTGCTCTTCCATTTTTTACTTCACATACTAAAAAATCCAATTCATGAAATTAACTTAATATACAGCTAATATTCTGTGGTATTGTGAAATCTTTTTCTTAGTGGGTTCTGCTTTGGTAATGAGCAGCTCATATTAAGACTGAAATTTTATTTTCCTTTTTCCTGGTTATTTACCACATTTGATTCTTAAAAGTATTCCCAAAGTCCATTTTGTAATCAGCCCAAGCTAGTACTTAAATGCAAGATCAAGAATTCAGGAAAAGACACATTGTTAGGAAAAAAGAGTTTTTTTTTTATCATGTATACATTACCTAAAATGATAACATTAAGATTTCCAGATAAAGGACCCTCAAATATTTCTCATGTTATATAAGATTTCTGGAAAAAAGAATTTATTTGAAAGGCAAGAGTTATATAAAGAGAGAAAGACAAAGGGAACTCTTTCATCTGCTGGTTCACTCCCCAAGTGCCTGCAGTTCCTGGGGTTGGGCCTGTCTGAAGCCAAGGGTTTCTTCCAGGTCTTCTGCATGACTTGACTGTCCTCCACTGCTTTCCCAGGCCATGGGCAGGGAGCTGAATCACAAGTGGCAGCTGGGACACAAACTGACACCTCTATAGGATGCATTGCAGGTGACAGCCTACTCCGTTATGCCACAGGGCTGACCCCATTAGATCATATATATTTTTTTTAAGATTTATTTATTTTTTATTGGAAAGTTAAATATGCAGAGAGGAAGAGACAGAGAGGAAGATCTTCCGTCCAGTCATTCACTCCCCAAACAGCTGCAACGGCTGGAGCTGAGCCAATCTGAAGCCAGGAACCAGGAGCTTCTTCCAGGTCTCCCACGCTTTGGGCCGACCTCGACTGCATTCCCAAGCCACAGGCAGGGAGCTGGATGGGAGGTGGGGTTGCCAGGATACCAACCAGTGCCCATTTGGGATCCCGGCACATTCAAGGCAAGGACTATAACCACTACGCTATCATGCCGGGCCCCCATTATATCATATAATTTTTTAAAAATTTATAATTATGGGCCCCAGCACTGTAGCCTAACAGCTAAAGTCCTTGCCTTGAACACGTCAGGATCCCATATGGGTGCCAGTTCTAATCCCTGTGGCCCTGCTTCATATGTAGCTCCCTGCTTGTGGCTTGGGAAAGCAGTTGAACACAGTCCAAAGCCTTGGGACCTTACGTCCACATGGGAGATCCAGAAGAGGCTCTGGTCTCCTGGCTTCGGATCGGCTCAGCTCCAACCATTATGGCTGCTTGGGGAGTGAATCAGTGGATGGGACATCTTTCTCTGTGCCTCTCCTCCTCTCTCTATATATGACTTTCCAATAAAAATTTTTTTAAAATGTGTTAAAAAATTTTTAAATCACTATGATGCCATACCTTTATAATCCAAATTTTACACTGCTTTTTTTTATTGCTTCCTGGGGCAAGCATGCTTTTTAAAAATGCAATACTGAGCATTTTTCTCAGGTTAAATTCTGCTTGGGATCAATAGTGGATGAAAATAATATTTCTGTAGCTTTCCATTACAACTGCTAAGCAGGGGACAATGGTAGTAAGCAAATTAAGTTCCCAAACTGAAACCATTTACATTACTAATGCAGTTTTTGAGCTATTAGATTGTTTAGGCTTTATTTTAAAAATTACAGTGGGCAAAGTGAAAACAACAGATTTTCATTTGATTTCAGTGACACTGTTCCACAGATAGCGAGGCACAAATCCTAGGAAAGGCCTTGCAGTTCATTTACTCTAATGTCTTCACTTACTGTTTTAGGTGAGGGAGACCCAAACAAGTAAGCCAGTTTTCCCAGGATTATTTGACAAGTTGATGGCAGATCCATGCCCTGTAGCTCCCCGAATTGGAATGGGTTTGCAAGATCATCTAGTGAAGCATGGAAAAAAAAATACTGGAATCTCTATTTGTATTTCATTATATAGAAATGTTTTGTGTTATAGTGAATGTTGTATTAATAACAAGAGGATCTGTGCTTGTTAACAATATGTAAATATGCATGTGTTGTGGTTATGTCTTCACACTTTCTTCGTGGTAACTGTGTAACTAAATGCCAAGGACACAGGTCTAGAACAGACTGTCCCCAGGTGGGAGAAGTCTGCCCAGATGGGAGGTCCCAGGCCTTTTCTAGAAGGGATAGAGAAGAAGAAGGATGACTGACCAGGTAGACTGTTACGTAACTCTCATCTCAGCTTTCTCCAGCCAAATCTAGTGTACATTCTGCAGTTTGTTCTGCACGGAGAAATAGAAAAAAGTGAGGCCCAAGTGCAGTGCAGTTCTGGCTCCTGGGTATAGGGAGTTGAACTTATCAGAATGTACCAGAGGATATTACATGTGTATAAAATCTAGAACCTCTTGGGACAGGGTTTAACATATAGATTCACTTCCTATATATTTTCTGTAATAGCCAGTCACCTGAAATATAATTCTTTTCTTTGTGTCCAACTGTCTAATTTGCTGTCTAGGAATCCCCCCCGTCAGAAGTTCCAGCCTGCCACTCTTCTCTGATGCCATGCCAGCACCAACTCAACTGTTTTTTCCTCTCGTCCGTAACTGTGAGCTGAGCAGACTCTATGGCACTGCTTGTTACTGCCACCACAAACATCTCTGCTGTCCCTCCTCCTACCTTCCTCAGAGTCGCCTGCGATACACGCCCCATCCAGCATATGCTACCTTCTGTAGGCCGAAGGAGAACTGGTGGCAGTACACCCAAGGAAGGAGATATGCATCGACACCACAGAAATTTTACCTCACACCTCCACAGGTCAACAGCATCCTGAAAGCTAATGAGTATAGTTTCAAAGTCCCAGAATTTGATGGCAAAAATGTCAGTTCTGTCCTTGGATTTGACAGCAATCAGCTGCCTGCAAATGCCCCCATTGAGGACCGAAGAAGTGCAGCCACCTGCCTGCAGACCAGGGGGATGCTCTTGGGAGTCTTTGATGGCCATGCAGGCTGTGCTTGTTCCCAGGCAGTCAGTGAAAGACTCTTCTATTATATCGCAGTCTCTCTGTTACCACACGAGACTCTGCTAGAGATCGAGAACGCAGTGGAGAGTGGCCGGGCACTGTTACCCATCCTCCAGTGGCATAAGCACCCCAACGACTACTTTAGTAAGGAAGCATCCAAATTGTACTTCAACAGCCTGAGGACTTACTGGCAAGAGCTGATAGACCTTAACACTGGTGAGTCCACTGACATTGATGTTAAAGAAGCTTTAATTAATGCTTTCAAGAGACTTGATAATGACATCTCGTTGGAGGCTCAGGTTGGTGATCCCAATTCTTTCCTCAATTACCTGGTGCTTCGCGTGGCATTTTCTGGGGCCACCGCTTGTGTGGCCCATGTGGATGGCGTTGACCTTCACGTAGCCAATACCGGCGATAGCAGAGCCATGTTGGGGGTGCAAGAAGAGGATGGCTCCTGGTCAGCAGTTACACTCTCTAATGACCACAATGCTCAGAATGAAAGAGAGCTAGAACGTCTTAAATTGGAGCATCCTAAGAACGAGGCCAAGAGTGTGGTGAAACAGGATCGGCTGCTGGGGTTGCTGATGCCCTTTAGAGCTTTTGGAGATGTGAAGTTCAAATGGAGCATTGACCTGCAAAAGAGAGTCATAGAATCTGGGCCCGACCAGCTGAATGACAACGAGTACACCAAGTTCATCCCTCCTAATTATCACACGCCTCCTTATCTCACTGCTGAGCCCGAGGTAACTTACCACCGATTAAGGCCACAAGACAAGTTTCTAGTGTTGGCCACTGATGGATTGTGGGAAACTATGCACAGGCAGGATGTGGTTAGGATTGTGGGCGAGTACCTCACTGGCATGCACCATCAGCAGCCAATAGCAGTCGGTGGCTATAAGGTGACTCTGGGGCAGATGCATGGCCTCCTCACAGAAAGGAGAGCCAAGATGTCCTCGGTGTTTGAGGACCAGAATGCAGCAACTCACCTCATCCGCCACGCAGTAGGCAACAACGAGTTTGGAACTGTCGATCACGAGCGCCTCTCCAAAATGCTCAGTCTTCCTGAGGAGCTTGCTCGGATGTACAGGGATGACATCACAATCATTGTTGTTCAGTTCAATTCGCATGTTGTAGGGGCATATCAAAACCAGGAATAGAGAGTGGAGCGTGCCGATTTTCAAATGAGATAGATGCAAAGGGCAGATAGATTTTTTTTTTTTTAAGATGCTACTATAATAAACATTTCCATTGGGCCATTCTGAGCACGTAGCCATTTGATGCTCTAGCTAATCAGATGTTGTGGATCGTGAGGGTCTGGTCCTGCCTGGCATGGACCTCACAGCACCTGCTCAGGAGACAAGTCAGTTCCTTAGCACAGGTGTCTTGAGAGGTGAGATGCTTTTCTACTAATCTGAGGAAAAAAAATCAAACTCTTAAAGAGGCCAAGAGCTAGAATCTTGCTGGTGTGTTCTCGTGATAAAAGGGAAGACGTGTTACTTTGCATCCTGCAAACCCTTTATTGCATGATTTCCTAGGTATACAATCTATGCATTATTCCTAGAAATTTATTTTAATCTCAAGTCGTTTGCAAATCCAGTACTTTAAGCCATAAATGACCAAGAACCAAGCAATCTGTATTTGTAAGGTTTTTTTTTTCTTTTTTGGTTATCTGACAGAAATGCTTTTTAAATGGAAAATCAATCTATACTTCCTTCTCCACCCAATTTCCTATTGTAATCGGAACATTTTCTATTTTGCCACACACTTGACAGTAATAGAAGTTTTTAGTTTTATCTGTTCTTATACTGATGTTCATAAAGTGTTTTGTTTGATTTGTAGTAATGAAGAGCTTTATTCAGTTTAAAATAAAGACATCCAAAATTAAAAGAAGAGACTGATATGTTCAATTATGGCCATCTGTATCCACTAGCACAACATTCTTATATAATCCTCGCAGGTCTGGCATGCTTTAAGTGTGTGGTGGGTAGACTGCTGCTGGGAAATCATACTTAGTAATAATAAGAATTCTCATCATTTGTGAATTTAAGCATAAAATAAGTTTAAGTAAATTTGAGGAGTAAGATTTAATATTACCCATCCTGTGTTGAGACAAGTTTTTTTTTTTTCCAACTTAAACATAGGTCATTAAAACATTTGATTTAAACTGCTAAATGCTTTAAAAGTATTGTAGCTTAAGAGATTATGTGTTAAAATCTCTACATGAGGAATCCTTAAAGGTAACTATTGTGCATGCCTGATGCTTAATAGAATACTTCGCAGCATCAAGTGTTATCTACGGCAGCCTCCATAATTATGCGCAGTCCCTTCTAATAATGTATCACAGTCAATGAAAATAATAAATATATTCAGATTTTTTGGGGAGCTTATTTGATATGCATCGAATGGCATTTTGTTCCTGTGTTTAATGATGATCTGTATACAGCTGTGCATATATTTCCATCTCTTTCTCTGGCATCACTATTAAATGGCTGTGACTGTGCTGATATTCACATAGATTTTAATGTAAAATATGATCAGCTTTCCGTTGTGTAATTGGGAATATAGGAGTCCTTTCATAATCTCATAGGATACAGACTAGATGTTCAATGACTCCCTGGACTGTGGATACTGAATCAATGTAGTATTTATTGGCTGGCAAATTTATTCCAGTTGAAAATAGTCTCAGGAAGATTGCAGCTCAGAACATCTTAATTTTTTTTTTCTGATGTATTTTTATTTGTATTTTTTGAAAAGTCAGTGTGGAATTGGTTTTTCCCTGAGCAGTATTTTGGTGAAAGGCTGTGCTGTGTATGTGTAAATATCCTGACAGAGAATTCATTTTTAATATGTAGATGGCAGTAACCCAACCACCTCCAACTACTGTTGGAATTGGTCTTGAGCATCACTGCTGAAGAGTTCTCTGTTGTTACAGACTGAATAATGTCTTTGTACAAGGGACAAGTGTAATAGAGGGAATATAAATTTAATTTCCTGTGGTTATAACCAAAATAGTAATTTTTATTTCCCAAGAAATAAGATCTACAGTCGGAAAGCTGATCTACATTGAATAGATGTGAAAGTACAATGTGGACTTTATATTGTGGAAATAATTATTAGACATCTGAATGTACAAACATCTAAAAACAGTTGTGAATTTTTCATAATGGGTTGTCACTGTGATGTGAGTATAGTATTAAAGTAAATGATACTTGTAAAGTTTCATGGTATTTAGTTTTTCTTAAATTTGTAAAGTTATTTAAGCTTTCTAATGTGTATTCAACTTTTGTATTTATATTTAATCAGTAGTTCATGATATATGTATAATATACCTTTAACCATTAAGTGAAATGCTGGTATTTTGAAGGAAAAGCTGTATTGATGAAGACATCTGAAACAATTTGCAGCCAGTTGGAGACTGGTCAGAACACAGTGACAGTGAATTAAAGCTTCGTATCTGCTTTCTGAATGGCCTGTTGTTGGTTTTTCATAATGGTAGGATTCATTAGTTACTTAGAGGTGGTACATGACATTTACTTTAGAATCTAGTAAATAAATAGTTCATTTTGCATTCAATAATAGGCACAGATTTTAAATTCACAGGTGAGATTTTGATAACACTCATCCCAATAGGGAATGTTCCATTGGTCCAAAAAATCTCATGCCCTTTTACAATTAACCCCTTCTCAATTAAAAGTCTCAGGAATAGTGTTTGGTTAAGATGTAATCTTAACTTTGCCAATACAGTTGTAAGTGGATTTTACATTCTACAGGAGTAGTCCCTTTAAAAAAAATGCTTTCAAGACAAGTGATGGAAATTTTTCATGGTGAAATGTTGGGATTAGGGAAAGAATGGTTCTTTGCTATTGACTTCTCTGTAGCGCTCCCACTGAGAAGTTTGAGTTCATTAAGTTCATTAAATGATTGTACTAATGACTGTCCTATAAGCAGGAGGCAAATTATAGCTTGAATTTTAATGGTTTTGGTCCTGCATCAGCCATGGCTATGATTAGGAATTTAAAAAAAGGAAATGCTGATTATTAAGACTGAGAAGGGGTGACTGGCTGGAGTATTTCGACTTTCACGAAATAAGATTAACACTGCTTAGAATTACCTTCCCTGTCCACTAGTCATACATGCCTGAATATTGGTTATGACTGGTTTGAACTTCGGGTATGACAAGAGGGCCTAGGGAACTGTTCTTCTTAGTCTGTAGGCAGACAGACTTAATTCTGACCTTTTTCATGCACCGTATAACAGTTGTAATTCATGGTGGAATGTTTCAGATCATTCACAGATGAATCCTATTAAAATTGATGCAGTGGTGCCATGACCACTTCTGGAGAGACTAAGTGAAAATGTCTTAATGGCTTTGGAAAGGACTTGTTGCAGTATGAAGGTCATTTCCTTGGGTCCTTTCAGAATTTGCTTTGACAGCTGAGCTTAATCCTATTAAATCCTATCTGTTCTGTTCTTGAAACAATAATTTATATCCTGGATTAAACCATAACAATACATGGTATTGTTTCATAAACAGCTCTCAACTTACAAGACTCCAGAGGGAATATGTTAAGAATGATGAAATTTTGTGTACTCCATGTACATGCACTTCAGGACACACAATTTACATTCAATTGTTTAGTCAGTAATCCTTCCTATAAAATATTCACCTATTGGGCCATTGCAATAGCCAGCCTGTACCCCATATTCCAGATGCTCTGTAGCATGTGCAGACTAAGAAGGGTTCCTGAGGGCCCACCTGCAGCTGTAGCTGCATTTCGTGAGTACCTGCTCCTTTCCTCTTGGTTCATGCTACCTGTTCCTAAGATATGGGGAGAGGAGAATGTTCAGCTAAGACCCTGCCCAGGAGCCCAGAGTTGTGTGGTATTCTGGGCTGTACCCAGCTCTTTGTGCCTGCAGCCCACACAAGCAGACTGCACAGTTGGCACTATGTGGAGGGCAGTGATCACACTGAACCCTTCAGAAACCTCCGACCTTGGCACTTGCAGCAGACAGGCAACCAAGGAGAATCAGAGAACTGAAGATGTTATCTCATCTGTGGTGATTAATCAGGTTGTCTTCTTGAAGGACAGGAGCTGTTTGATTGGCTGGCAATGGAGACTACAGAGCCCAGCCTACTGGCAGGAACGTTGAGAAGAATGGGGAAATGTAACCAGAGATCTAAGAGTACAAAGAAAAAGCTGAGAGAAGGAAGAAAACTGCAGGCGATGGCAGGGGTGATTAGCAGCGGTAAAGGGGGGCAGGGAGCATCAGGTCCTCTGTTAGCTTGAACCAGTGTCCAGTAGTGAGCAGAATAGTAGCAAGGGAGAGAGTTTCTTAAAGGCATTTTTAAGCCCTTATGAGCTTGCTAAGGCAGCAGCAGCTGGAACACAAGACAGTTGTCATTAGCATGGCTATTTTGTCTTGGTCCATTGGAAAAGAAGGGAAAAGGAAAGGCTTTGAAATTGACCATATGGACAGGGATCTTTGGCTCCCAGATGAACAGTTTTCTCAAAAGAACTTTGCTTGGAAATTATTTTTTCTTGCTTCAAACCTGGGGCCAAGTTAAACATCCTAATTGAGCCTGATGAAAACAGAGAGGCAGGATCATGAAGGCCCTGAAGCCAGGAGAAGCTGAGACTGAGCAGCTCAGAGGGGCAAGCAGTCTTGTAGCAATGACCTGCCAATAGGTTGTGAAGTCAGGCCCCGGTGGCATCAGGTGTGAGTAAAAGGTGCACTGAGCTTGCTGCTCCTATTTCTTGAATGCTCAGTAGGTGTTTACCTTGTCAGAGCACACTTTATGCATTTCCCATCTAATCCTGTTCCAGCTACCCTCTGGCCCCTCAAGGCCTGATCTGGCTCCCTGCTCTTGATTGTATGCCAGGAAGTCAGATCTGGCAAGCTGCACCCTTCTGGGCTCTCCAGACTCTATTTTGATTCAACCAAAGGGCAGCAACAGCTGGCACCCAGAAGGTAGGGTGAGCCCCTCCTTATTTTGGTGCTGCTGGCTGCATCTCCAGCTTTGGCTGCAGAGTGCCCTTACCCTAGAGTGCCCTTGGGACTCCTCTTCGCCCAGGATGCCAGGCCTCGGAGGGCTCAGCTCTCCTCCTTCCTTGGTGCTCTCCATCTTAGGAACATGGAGATTTCCTGCTGTGTGCTCTACCAGCCTCACTCAAAAACCTGCAAGTAATCTAGTCATTTGAATCACATAGGGTACAATCACTGTCCATAAGACCTGATCAGTGTGTTCCTCAAAGCAAGGTAGAGTAATAAGCCCACTCTGACTTAGTGCAAAAAGGTCAATCATCTAGCATCGCTCACCGAACAAATTCTTATCTATACCTTTCAAAACCTGTGTATCTGATCAATACGTGCCACTGCCGGGCTTTTCCATGTGACTGAGATGGTTCCTCTGGGCTCCAGAAGGCCTGAGGACTAGTGAGTAACTAGTAAACAAGTGACTTCCTTGGAAAGCAGAGACAAAAAAGTAGCAGCAAAGGTTGATGGAGCCCACCAGTGCATAGAGAACATAGGAAATAAAGTCTCCCGCAGGTTGGGTGTGCCAAGTGCAGGACAGAAATCCAGTGTGGCTTTATAGATTAAAACTGATACAGGCAGAGCAGGAAGAAGATGAGGTAAGAATATGTAAGCTGAAAGGTTTTTCCTGTAATTTTAGCCTTTGGCTCTATGTTGGAACATCACCTGCTTGTCAATCCAATACGCCCACTTTCCCAATAGGCATGAGGAAGGAAGGACACCATTTGGCCCTGAGACATTGGAGCCACACGTACACTCCACTCCACCCAAACTCTACCCTTTTTATGTACTGTGTTAGGGCACTGCTACCTGTTCCATACAGAGCACTGTTACATGTGCTGTCATGTTTTTTGCCTTTTGACTTTCTGCCCTTCTTGATGCTTTGCTGGCCTCCTTCCACACTGAAAGGGCAACTCTGTGGCCCATTCCTGATGGATATCTCTGTGTGGGACTGCCCATACTCACTTGTGAATGTATATTCACTCACCTGAAATAAATCTTGCTCTCACTTGTACCCCTTCCTTTAAACTTTGATCTCTGGGAGAGTCAAGAAGGTGGAATGTCATGTTTGAAATATATGTTCCCATCACAGAACCAGAGGTGTGTCACTGCTAATAGGGCAAGGCAGGTTACAGGTATGCTATTTCTGGCTCCCGGCTCCAGATTCCCTTTCTGAAATATTTGTTGCTATCACAGTCTGGTGTTGACGGGGAAGAGGGAGCAGGTGAAAGGTCAAGTCTGCCTTCCAGAAGCTCATAGTGGGCTGGGAGGGTTGTGTCATCGTTGTATTTAATTACCTTTCAGGAATCAGTATGAAAAAAAGTTGAACTTTTTTCCCACTAATTATTGTTTATAATCCTTGCTATTTTCTTGTTTTTTTTTTACTTTCATTTATTAACTTCTTTATTTAGAAGAGTCATTAAACTTGAGTATGATGTAACTTAAAAATCTTATCTCCAAAACAGAATAAAAATGGTTCAGAAATTGAAATACTCATGCAGAAGGGAAATAGTTCCTGATGTGCCTCAAGGGTGAGGTACATTCTGGAGAGTCAGGGAAGTTTAATGAGGAGAGAAGAGGCATGGGCAGGGACTAAAAGACGAAAAGGCCATTACCAGGCTGCCAAAGACCTGGGAATGACATTGCTGGAAGAAGACAGTACCTGTGTCAAGACACAGGAAGCAGGAAGCCTTACTGTGAGCATGGAGGTCTTGTGTAAGAATAACATGTATAGGAATGGGAACTGGTGGGGGAAGTAGAAGCAGACAATGGCTAAATGTGTTGGGGACCTGGTCTGGCACTATGGCTAAGTACCTAGTTCCTCACCTTGCAACAGCTGGGATCCCATATGGGCGCCTGGGCTCTGGTTTGTGTCCAGCCTCTGCATTTCCCATTCAGCTCCCTGATTGTACCCTGGGATAGCAGGATAAGATGGCTCAAAGCCTAGGGATCGTGCACACCCACAGGGGAGACCTGAAGAGGCCTGGCTTTTGGCTTCAGATGAGCTCAGCTCTAGCTTTTGCAGCCACTTGGGGAGTGAACCAGCAGATGGAAGATGTTTCTGTCTGTCTCTCCTTATCTCTAAATCTGACTTTCTAATAAAAACAAATGAGTAAATAAATGTGTGGGGACTCTGTAGCACCTTTGCAGCCATGGCAAAGACACACATGAAATACAACAGTTGGAGGGAAAAGGAGAAACGGCAAATAGCACAGAGCAAGGCCTGTCACAGTCATGCCCAACTGATTTCTGGCTTCTAGCCGCTTAGATAGGATACTAAGCAAATTCCAGATAAGGAAGGACTGGTGGATGAGCAAGAGAACACTTGTCAGTTTTCATTCTGTCTACAGTCAACATTTAGTAGCCTGGTGTTTAGCTCAAACCTTGTCATATTTTCATTTCTTTCAATTCCCTGATTACTATTGTATAGTT